ATCCTGAACTGGAATGGAGAATATCTACATCATTAACAGAAAGATGTCTTATGATTAATCTAAATATAACACAAATAAGGTGCTATGTACTATTGAAAATGATTCTTAAGTCCTTTCTTAATCCTCAAGATGAAATCAACATATCAAGTTTCATGTGTAAAACAGTTCTATTACATTGTATAGAAAACACAGAGTCGGGAATATGGAAACATAACAATTTATGTACATGTTTAACATACTGCTTATTGGAATTACACAGTTGTGTACAAAATGACTGTTGTTCACATTTCATTATACCGGAAAATAATTTGATGGCAGGGCAATTTACAGCTGAGACAAAACATGAACTTTCAAAAAATATTTGCGATTTTATACAGAATGATAGACAACGGTTACTAAGTATTGACATTGATGATGTTGGTCATAGACTTCAAGTTAAACTGAACAGGGTACAACATTCAATTAACCATTTTCCTTCTCTTGAAATACATGAAACTGTTATGACGGGGTTATATATAAACATTGCAACTAGCATAAGTTATCCGCATATGCATTTTTTAAAACTTTTACACAATAAAAACTTTAGAACAATAAAACAATATGTAGGTAAACTAATTACCTTCATTGATAATGGTAATAGATTAAAACATGCTGCTTTCAAGCTCCTAGCACCTTTTTTTTTTACCACATATGGATCTATCCTAGCATCTTACAGCATTGGTGAAAATAATCAATTGTCACCTCAAGCATTGGTTTGGCTATCAGCTGGTCTAAACTCAGATATCTCATCTAGCAGACTTAAACTGGCTTCAGTGTTTTACAGTACAGGAGATATGGAGAAAGCTGAACTAATTCTGAGGCACACAGAACAACAATATTACTCCTATCCTGTTTTACCTATCTGTGGATGCCATCCTATGGTGCCAGTAACAGTAACAGAAGAATTCAGGAGATTATGTGGTGAGCAAAGTGAGAACTGTATCAAGCATATTACAGCATTTTGTGTCAGATTTATACAGGGAGAGATCAACTGTGTTCCTCATGAACTACAATATGAAATGTTCAGATCTACACAAGATGACATGATACACAGACATGCAAATAAAGACTTTTGGATGGACTGGGCTGTAGTTGATTCTCTACCTTTCTTGTATTTCCTACAATACAAGATCTACCGTCATCTACAAAGGCATCAAGATCAACAACAAGCACTTGGTAAACTTATCAGAACCATAGAAACAGATAAAAACCTCAATCATAGAGAAACAGCTCTAAACATTTTAGGACAATGTATGGAACAAGAAAACAGACCTCAAGTAGCATTAAAATGCTACATGCTTTCTCTTCGACAAAGGGCAAGGAACAATGCTGCAAACATCCATATATGTAAGCTCCTTTCTGGCTTACTGGCTATCCAATAAACTTAGATAAACAAGCAATTATCATAGTATTGCAAGCAATCCATAAGTCCCCTACCGGTAAGAGCCCAAGCAACATTCTGAGGGGCCATTGGCCATTCACTTATGTTTCTATTTTAAGTGATCACAGTGAACAGTTTTTATGTACAGACAGACAGACTGAAGGACACTCTAAAGTTATTTTTTAAACATCCCTGTTATCAAAATATAACATTTTTAAAGCAAAATTTTAAACACAAGGAGATAACGATGTCATACATGATGTGAGTGTAACAAAGAACAATTAGTAATGAAGGTATGAATATTGAATGCTTATTTTGAATTTGAAGTAAATGAAAGTTAAAAGAACGAATAGGAAAAATAAAAAGTTCAAGGAGGAGATAATTCTGGAAATTTAGATGCTAGATTTATAAACCTTGTCATATTATTGTCATATTATTTTGATGTGGGAGTTTGAAGAAAATCCTATCATTATTAATGAAAATTACCAATTTCTCAAAAAAAAGTCAAGTTCAAAAGGGGCATAATTCTGGAAATAGTCTTGCTAGAGTATTGAACACTCACAAATGTTGAGTGATAATAAAAAACATTTATATGAAGTTTGAAGTAGATACGTTCAGAAAAAAAGAAGTTATTAAAAAAAAATATGTTTTTTTCATGAAAATTTTAAGTTCCAGGGAGGTAATTCTGATAAATTTTGTGCTAGAGTTGTAAACTTTGTCACATATGATGTGGTTGATGACTAGCAACTTATATTTAAAGTTTGAAGAAAATACCTTAAGAAATAAAGAACTTATGGTGAAAAAACTTGAAATTCAGTCTATTTGTTGCCATAGCAACCAGAATTTTCAATACAGGAAGATAAGAAAAGAATGTGCATAATTTCCATACTGCCATCTACCAATATGTCAAGTTTCATAAAAATATTTTCAGTAATTTTTGCGTTATCACTGGATCCAGGTTATGTGTAAAATTTGCCATATTTTCAGCCTATTTGTTGCCATAGCAACCAGAATTTACAGCATAGAAAAAAAAGAAAAAGATGTGCATAATCTCCATACTGCCATCTATCCATATATCAAGTTTCATAAAAATATTTTCAGTAATTTTTGCGTTATCACTGGATCCAGGTTATGTGTAAAATTTGCCATATTTTCAGCCTATTTGTTGCCATAGCAACCAGAATTTACAGCATAGAAAAAAAAGAAAAAGACGTGCATAATCTCCATACTGCCATCTATCCATATATCAAGTTTCATAAAAATATTTTCAGTACTTTTTGCGGTATCGCGGGATCCAGGTAATGTGTAAAATTTGCCATATTTTCAGTCTATTTGTTGCCATAGCAACCAGAATTTTCAACATAGGAAAAAAAGAAAAAGACGTGCATAATCTCCATACTGCCATCTATCCATATATCAAGTTTCATAAAAATATTTTCAGTACTTTTTGCGGTATTGCGGGATCCAGGTTATGTGTAAAATTTGCCATATTTTCAGTCTATTTGTTGCCATAGCAACCAGAATTTTCAACATAGGAAGAAAAGAAAAAGACGTGCATAATCTCCATACTGCCATCTATCCATATATCAAGTTTCATTAAAATATTTTCAGTACTTTTTGCGTTATCGCGGGATCCAGTTTTGTGGACGGACGGACTGACGGACGGACAGACGGACTGACGGACTGACGGACGGACAGACGGACGGAGGGTAAACCTAAAGTCCCCTCCGGTAAACCGGTAGGGGACTAAAAAAAGAATGTATGAAGACTTTAGTTTTCAATGATATCAAACAGCTAAAATGACAAAATATAGGCCGGTCATTACACTTTTTATCACATATTATTTTGTGATAATAATTACTTATAATAACATTAAACAAGTTAAATTGAAAGAATGATTCCAACTTCATTGACTTGGAATATCTGACTTTACATTTAAGAGTTAAGAGCATATTGTGTAGAGGACCAGTATTGCTTGTGAAAATGTATTTTAAATTTTGGTTTATAAGGTGAAGTTTTTTCAAAGCTTTTTTTTTATACAGTAGTCAAAACAGTTTTAGCTTCTATTGTTGGCAATATTTATTAAAAGTCTTGTTTTATAAATGTTTCTTGTAGTTCTTGTTCTTATTTTATAGTTTGTACCCTGTATACATCTGTATATAGTCAAGTGCTTATTATATATATGTACCCTGTATATTAAATGACCCTGTTTAATGCAGTCATCAGCCACAATTGTCTCAGGTCAATAAGAATAATGAAATAGTCAACTGTAGAATGTACAAAACAATACAAGAGGGCTATAATGGCCCTATATCACTCAACTAAATTTCTAGAAAAAGTCACAATTCTTAAATGCTAAAGCAAGTCATTAGGAGGGATCAATTTAGATCAAAGGGGTATGATTAAATCAATTTGTATAGGTGTTCACTAGGCAATGCTATTATAATAGAAGATTTTTTGTTGTTTTTACTATATAAATGTGAGGAAAATCAATGACCCCCTGGGGCAGGGGCCAATTTTGACCCAAGGGCTATAAATTTGAACAAGAGCCATATCAACATGGCCATCCCCCGCCGAATGTGTTTGCTCATTGGAAGAATGTATATATAGTAGAGCAGAATAATTCAATTTTAAGAGGTCTTTTGGTAATCAAAACTGATGGCTGAAGTGATTACAGATTTGAAACCTATGTGAATACTGATGGCTGACAATAACAAAGGGCAATAACTGAAAAATAATGCAGGATAGGTTATCATTCTTGTGTGCTGCACCCCTCCTCAGTAAAATCTATCCACCTATGAAGTTTCAAGTTCTTGCGCACAGCATTCCTCCTCAATAAGATCTATCCACCTATGACATTTCATGTTGATATCTCAAACACTTTTTGAGTTATGTTCCACTCAGGTGAAAAATTAAGTATGAAAAATAAAGGGCAATAACTCAAAAATTATGAAAGGTAGAGTTATCATTCTTGTGCACTGCACACCTCCTGAGTGAGATCTATGCACATATGAAGTTTCATGTTGATATCTCAAAGGCTTTTTGAGTTATGCTCTGGACAAAAATTAATTTTGAAAAATAACAAAGGGCAATAACTTAAAAATTATGCAGGTAGAGTTATCATTCTTGTGCACTGCACACCGCTATCCACCTATGAAGTTTCAAGTTGATACCTCAAATACTTTTTAAGATATGCTCCAGACAAAAATGTCGGACGGAAGGACAGACGGGCGGAGACTATTTCTATATCCCCCGCCGCCTTTTCGGATAAATTTTTTTATATGAATTGTGATTATTATTATTGTCAATGACCGAATTTCAAAGAAATCAGCTGATAAGAGTGAAGATATAATGGTTATAGTGATTTCATAAATGAGCCGTGTCATGACAAAACCAACATAATGCGTTTGCGACCAGGCTGTTTGCTATCAGTTTCTCTACTAGTAATAGGGTTTGTAAGCGAACAGCATGGATCCTGATCAGACTGCGCGGATGTGCAGGCTGGTCTGGATCCATGCTGGTCGCAAAACGCATTATTTTGGTTTTGTCATGACACGGCTCATATTATGAATTAACTAACCTCAAGACCGAGTTCCCATCTCCGGTATTTTCCCTCATGAAACACTGGTTCCACAAGTGGTTCCCATACGGACATTTTCTCGTTGTAATAAGCCACTTCCAGCAGAAGTCTACTCTCTACATATAGCTGAAATAACAAGACAATATAAAATCAGAAACTTCTTTGTACCATTTTTGTTGCCATATGACGAAATGCAGAAAATTTATTTGAAGTTTTGACAACCAAGATATCTCAGAATTCTATCATATTCATGAACAAGAGCCACCACCGGGCGGGGACAATGCTCGACTTTTTACTTTCTCTAAAAGCAAACAAAGAAATGTTTGAACAAAATCTTAACGTTTCCTTTCTATAAAATTAATAATTCTGTCTTGTCACATTAGTTTTGTCTATATATTTTTTATATATAAATATACTAATTTTTATATATATATAAATAGAGACACGCAATTCTATAAATAGAAAATTCTATAAATAGAAAATTCTATAAATAGATATATGTGGTGAAGTCACGTGGCGGTGTCACGTGGCGGTGTCACGTGGTAGTCACGTGGTGGAGTCACGTGGTGAAGTAACGTGGTGGAGTCACGTGGTGGTGTCACCTGGAGGTGTCACATGGCAGAGTCACGTGGCAGAGTCCCGTGGCGGAGTCCCGTGACGGTGTCCCGTGGCGGTGTCACGTGGCGGAGCCCCGTGGCGGAGTCCCGTGGCGGAGTCCCGTGGCGGAGTCCCGTGGTGGAGTCACGTGGTGGAGTTACGTTGTGTCATGAGTCACGTGGTGGAGTCACATGGTGGAGTCACGTGGTGGAGTCACATGGTGAAGTCACGTGGTGGAGTCACGTGGTGGAGACTCGTGGTGGTGTCTCGTGGTGGTGTCTCGTGGTGGTGTCATGTGGCGGTGTCACGTGGTGAAGTCACGATAAACAACAAGGTCTTGTCCTTTAGTATGTTCTGTTATAATATGAAGTTGATCCCTTCAATAATAACAAAGTTACAGCCAGTTACAGCCAAAACAAAGTCAAGGCCATTAATGAGTGAAGGTCAAGGTCTGTCAGGTTATTTTTAAGGGTTATCCTTGAAGATTATTATGTTCAAGTTTGAAGACAATCCATTCAAAAATAACAAAGTTACAGCCAATATTAGCCAAAAACATGAAAATTTCAATAATTTGACCTTCAAAGTCAAGGTCATTTATGAGTGAAGGTCAAGGTCTTTCGGGTTATTTTTAAGGGTTATCCTTGAAGATTATTATGTTCAAGTTTGAAGACAATCCATTCAAAAATAACAAAGTTACAGAAAATAATAGCCAAAAACATGAAAATTTCAATTATTTGACCTTCAAAGTCAAGGTCATTTATGAGTGAAGGTCAAGGTCTGTCGGGTTATATTTAAGGGATATCCTTGAAGATTATTATGTTCAAGTTTGAAGACAATCCATTCAAAAATAACAAAGTTACAGCCAATAACAGCATGAACAAGCAAAATTTGGACTTTTAACCTTGAAGGTCAAAGTCATTTATGGATGAAGGTCAAGGTTAGTGTGGTCTACTGAAAGGTCTTGTCCCAAGGGTTGTTGTGGCCAAGTATGAAGACAATAAACCAAGAAATAAACAAGAGGACCATGATAACCCTGAGGTCGCTCACCTGTATATAGGCCCCGAAGCTGGGCCAGTTTAAACCCCAGGGCTTTTATTTGAACAAACTTGGAATTAAGACACCCATTAGAAGATGTTTCATGATGTTTAGTTTTTGCTATACACATATAAGAGAAAACAATGACCAGGGCATTTATTTGAACAAACTTGGCAAACACTGACTAGGTGATGTTTCATGCCAAATATTTGAGCTCTAGCTCTTGCGGTTTTCTAAAAGAAAATATTTTAAATTTTTACTATATACAAATAAGGAAAATAAATGACGCCCGGGGCGGGGCCAATTTTGACCCCAGGGCATTTATTTGAACAAACTTGGTAGACACCCACTAGAAGATGTTTCATGCTTAATATTTAAGCTCTAGCTTTTTGGGGGTTTTAAAAGAAGATTTTTTAAGTTTTTACTATATACAAATAAGGAAAATCAATGACCCCCAGGGCGGGGCCAATTTTTACCCCAGGGCATTTATTTGAACAACCATGGTAGACACTGACTAGGTGATGTTTCATGCCAAATATTTAAGCTCTAGCTCTTGCAGTTTTCTAAAAGAAGATATTTTAAGTTTTTTCTTTCGGTTGCCATGGCAACCAGAGTTCTGCTCAAAGAAGGTTTTTTTTAGTTTTTACTTTACATATAAAAGGAAAATCAATGACCCCCGGGGCGGGGCCAATTTTGACCCCAGGGCTTTTATTTGAACAAACTTTGTAGACACTCACTAGAAGATGTTTCATGCTTAATATCTAAACTATAGCTATTTGGGGTTTTTTTAAAGAAGATTTTTGAAGTTTTTGCTATACACATATAAGGAAAATCAATGACCCCCGGGGCGGGGCCAATTTTGAACCCAGGGCTTTTATTTGAACAAACTTGGTAGACACTCACTAGAAGATGTTTCATGCCAAATATCTAAGCTCTAGCTCTTTGGGTTCTTTAAAAGAAGATATTTAAAGTTTTTACTATATGCATTAAGGTAAAATCAATGACCCCCCTGGTGCAGGGCCAATTTTGACCCCAAGGCTTTTATTTGAACAAACTTGGTAGACACTCACTAGAAGATGTTTCATGCTAAATATCTTAGCTCTAGCTCTTTGGGTTCTTTAAAAGAAGATTTTTTTAATTTTTTACTATATGCATATAGGGAAAATCAATGACCCCCTGGGTCGGGGCCAATTTTGACCCCAGGGCTTTTATTTGAACAAACTTGGAACACACTTATTAGAAGATGTTTCATGCCAAATATCTAAGCTCTAGCTCTTTGGGTTTCTTAAAAGAAGATTTTTTAAGTGTTTACTATATGCATATAGGGAAAATCAATGACCCCTGGGGCGGGGCCAATTTTGACCCCAGGGCTTTTATTTGAACAAACTTGGTAGACACTCATTAGAAGATGTTTCATGCCAAATATCTAAGCTCTAGCTTTTTGGGTTCTTTAAAAGAAGATATTTTTTCTTTCGGTTGCCATGGCAACCAGAGTTCTGCATGGAATTAAATTCTTTGAACAATTTTTAAAGGTGACCACCAAAGTTTGGATGAAATTGGATTAGTGGTTTATGGGAGATGTCATTTGAAGCAAAAGTTTCAGACGAAAAGCGATCACAAAAGCTCACCCTGTCACTTTGTGACAGGTGAGCTAAAAAGTTATGATCCAGGTACAAGTTTGCGGACGGCAACAGCAACGCCGCCGCGACTATAACAAAACCTCTACTTTTTTTTATTCAAAAAAAAAAAAAAAAAAAAAAAGAGTCGAGCTAAAAACTGATAAAAATATTTTGCATATTGGTGCTATAAAAAAATCTGCTGCATATGTATAAAAGAATTTGACAATTCACATGAATCTGGTGTTTATATGGATTTTTGCATTCATGTATTTTGTCTATTATATCATATAGAATATTTACACCCCAAAAATGGCTCCTACTTTTGGCAAGGGAGGTAAACATTGTAAAAATCCTGAAATTTCTATAGTTACCTTTCCTGACCAGTCCCTGACTTCACCTTGGAACGACATCTCTGTGATAAGTAACGGTACAGTTCGGTTACCAACACCTCCCTCGATCTTTACTACGATTGATGGAACTTTCAATATCATCTGAAAAACATAACACTTTAATAATGCAAATCATCTACAAGGTAAAGAAAAATGTCAGTAACCAAATCGGGTAAAAGGTCATTAAGATAATAACATTAATCATTAATTTTCATAACCTAGTAAATTGAGTTTGTACAATTAGCATTATACTTACATACCAATATATTTCAATATAAACATAAATTCATGTTTGTTATCAAGATATGCATATTTTATGCATACCTGCAGCATAGAAATTGATATTAATAACATATTAACTGTTCATGTCTGCAGCATAGAAATTCATTTTAACCATTCATGTCTGGAGCATAAAAATTCATATCAATAACATAACCATTTATGTCTGCAGCATGGATATCCATGTTAATTACATAACAATTCATGTCTGGAGCATAAAAATTCATGTTAATAACATAACCATTTATGTCTGCAGCATAAAAATTCATGTTAATAACATAACCATTTATGTCTGCAGCATAAAAATTCATGTTAATAACATAACCATTTAAGTCTGCAGCATGGATATTCATGTTAATTACATAACAATTCATGTCTGGAGCATAAAAATCCATGTTAATAACATAACCATTTATGTCTGCAGCATAAAAATTCATGTTAATAACATAACCATTTATGGAATCCCGGACAATCCCCCTCCCGGACGATTCCCCTTCCATATTATTTTCACAACCTGGACATTTCCCCTCCCGTTATTTTAATAGGGCGGACTTTTCCCCTCCCGTTAATTTAGCAGAGCGGACAATTCCCCTCCCATTTTTTTAGCGGAGCGGACAATTCCCCTCCCATTTTTTCACATTGCGTGTAAAAAAATCTATAACCATTCTTATTAAAGATGACAGTTTTTACTCTTAACAATAAACTGTTAAAGATCGGAACTTTTAACAATCATTATTTCACAAAAGTGACATTATACCGCCTTTAGTCATTGCCGCCGCTGCTTAAGATAAACAAACTGTCATTAAGAAATCTTTAATCATTGCCGCCCTTAATTAAATGTGTCCTTGATTGCAAAACCAATTAAAAATGAAGGAGAATATTCCTACAAATGTGTTCAATCATAAATAAATATCAAAATGATCACTGATATTTTGTGTTAGGACTTCATGTACTGATTCAATATGGTGAATATGATTTTCTAATCATAATGACGATGTCATAGTTCAATTTACTATAACATGTGCATAATATATTCTTTGCAAGAATCTACAGCTTAATTGCTTTTTGGTTCTGATCAATTGTTCTTTTATTGTTTTGCCGCTGCAAAAATGTATATACCTTTCAAATAAACAATATTATATAATATATATATTCAACAGCCACGGGAGGGAAATTGTCCGCTCTGACAACAGCGGGAGGAGAATTGTCCGGGTTGTTAAAAGAACGGGAGGGGAATTGTCCGGGTTGATAAAAGAACGGGAGGGGAATTGTCCGCCGTAAAAAAATAACGGGAGGGGAAATGTCCGGGTTGTGAAAAAACATTCAAATTTACTGGGAGGGGAATCGTCCGGGAGGGGAATTGTCCGGATACCCCATTTATGTCTGCAGCATAAAAATTCATGTAAATAACATATCCATTCATGTCATTAAGATTCATGTTTGTTTCCGTAACCTTTTATATTCTTCCATATTTGTAACATAATCATTTATATTTGTAACATAGTACATTCATGATTGTAGCATAATTATACAGTCAGGTCTGTTACATAACAATCTTTTTTAAAGATCCTGCAAGTTTTGTAATTGATATTGTTTCTGTGTGTATACCACACTTGCAAAAAATTGTATATGTATATAATTATGCAAATAAAACAATTTTCAAACATCGAAGAATATGTAAAATATGTACTGCAAATATTTGTGCACATTATATTTAATCAATAAATGACATGCATTCATTTCTTATTGGAAAATTTGAAATAGAATTTATAGAAAATAAATTTCTAATTACCTCCCTTTATTTACATGAAATGTTAAATCGGGTAATATCTTTATAAGTAATGCTTATTGGAACTTACAACATTGACAACTCTTAATTTGAGCATCATATTTATTATGATATGATTCCAAAATGACCAACCACACGCGTACATTCAATTATCTTTTTTTTAAATTTTATTATTATTATTTTTTTATTTTTTTTGGCATCATATTTATGAAATAAAACCATGAAAAAATTGTGTTACAGGATCTTTAACAACATAAATATTCATGATTTGTAACATAGACATTCATATTAATTCATGCATTAGCTCAAACTAAGAAATAATAGATTATCTTAATAATTATCTATACAGAAAAGAAATCATACTATGTTACTATTTATAGAACATAAAACTTAATATACATGTATTTAACACATGTATTCACCTATCATAAATAATAACAAACTCAAATAAAAATATTTTCTACATTCTCCAACAAAAAAATATCATCTCATTCAAACAGAAAAATGACCATAAATGCTAAATATAGAATAAAGAGCAAATGGCATAAGGGAGGTAACTGGGGTAACTCCTTTATTTTTCTCAAGATTTGTGGTGAAGTAGAATTGTTCTAAAGTAACAATATCAAGAGTGTGTATTATTGTTTTAAACAGAACTACCGTGTTGTATGTTATAATTATTCCCATTGTAAAGGTCATGTTCTTGACCTTTTGTTCTTGACCTTTTGTCCTTGACCTTTAACCTGCTGTTACAAACAGTGATTAGACTTTGTAACCACATCAAGAGCATAGAGCACAGTCAATCAGTCTGCAAATCTACGCAATCTGATCAGGCTCTATCCTGTAGTAAGCTCAATATTTGTATTTTGATATTGAAATCCCTTAAACTTTGATGGACTGTTCCAAATTTGAATCAGGGCAAATCCATTTTACAAAGTCAACAGGTTAATGGTTAAGAATAGAAGAAAGCTTAAAATCCATGTGAAATTGTTGGGGTTTGGTCCAAAAGCTGCATTTTTCTTTATTCCAAGTCTACAGTGCTTTTACTAAAAGAAAAGAAAATTGAAGTGACTGATTGTTATTACTGTGTTGATTTTAATTTTAAAGTGTGATGTAAAAAAAAGAAATATAAAGGTTCGTTCCTCAACTTCTACAGCAGACTTAACAGCTAGCGTAACACCCAATGTAACAGCAGGCATAACAGATGTAATGGCAGACATAACAGCAGATGATAGCAGACGAAACTAAAGGAAGTGTCTGTTGTTAAAAATGTATGAGGAACTGAGGGAAACAGGACTGAGGGGGTTCTCATTAAACACAGTAGACTGTTACAGGTAGGGTAATCTTATGTCTGAGTTCAGTTCACTAAAGTAATTAAGTTCACAAAACAAAGCAAAGAAAACCGATCCCAATTTTTTCCTTAAATACAGTGCTAGTGGTGGCAGAGTGACTTGAGTTAATAGACAGAATGGTTGAGGACAATCATTTCAGAGAAATCTTTTAAGTTTGTCTCCTTTTTTCCCATTTTTGGTGTTGTTTTACATGACATTGGTACTGTGAAGGTCACCCAATAACTTTCATTGACACTGTAGAGGTCACATGAAATGTTTCCGACTTATTCCTGGTTTGAGGAAGTGGCCTGGTGCCAGGCTTGTATTAAATTATTTAAATGTATTATATTTAAATGTATTATGCACTTTGGCTCAAACTATAAGATTAACAAAATGCTACCTGAATACCTAGCTCAAATAAAGCATTCAAAGCTACAGCAAGGAGGTTCAGACAAAGAAGTGAGGAATAAATTTCTTGAAGTATTTGACCGTTTTAAATTGTTGACCTTTATCACTTTCCAGCTTTAAAGGTTGAGGAAAAGTTGAGGAACCTTACAGTGCATTATTTCAAGCACAAGCTGGCAGCCTGAGTAAAACCACCAATCTTCCATCAGTTAACTTTGTGGGGTTGGGGGACGAGCACACCAACACTAACAAGAGCCACCGCCGGGCGGGGGCAACGCTCGACTTTTTACTTTTTCTAAACGCAAACATAGAAAGGTTTGAACATATATTAACGTTTCCTTTTTATAAATTTAGTTTGTCTGTCTTGTCACATTAGTTTTCTTTATATATTTTGTATATATATGAATAGAAACATTAAGCATATTTCTAAAAATAGCAACAGTACGCAATTTCTTAAAATAGCAACATGACGCAATTTCTCAATATAGAAAAAATGACGCAATTTCTAAAAATACAAAAAATGACATAATTTCTAAAAATAAAAAAGTGATGCAATTTCTAAAAATAGCAACAATGATGCAATTTCAAAAAAATAGAAAAATTGACGCAATTTCTAAAAATAGAAAAAATGAAGCAATTTCTAAAAAAAGAAAAAAATGACGCAATTTCTAGATATACTAAAATAGAAATTATGACGCAATATATAAAAATAGAAATTATGACGCAATTTCTAAAAAGTAGAAAAAATGACGCAATTTCTAAAAATAGCACCAATGATGCAATTTCTAAAAATAGAAATTATGACGCGCAAATTTCTAAAAAATAGAAATTATGACGCAATTTCTAAAAAATGACGCAATTTCTAAAAATAGCACCAATGACGCAATTTCTAAAAATAGAAAAAATGACGCAATTTCTAAAAATAGAAATTATGACGCAATTTCTAAAAATAAGAAAAAATGACGCAATTTCTAAAAATAGCACCAATGACGCAATTTCTAAAAATAGAAATTATGACGCAATTTCTAAAAATAGAAAAAATGACGCAATTTCTAAAAATAGCACCAATGACGCAATTTCCTAAAAATAGAAATTATGACGCAATTTCTAAAAATAGAAAAAATGACGCAATTTCTAAAAATAGAAAAAATGACGCAATTTCTAAAAATAGAAAAAATGACGGCAATTTCTAAAAATAGACAATTATGACGGCTATTTCTAAAAATAGAAATTATGACGCAATTTCTAAAAATAAAAAAATGATGAGCAATCTTTCGCAATTTAATAATACTAAAAAATAGAAAAAAAAAATTTCTAAAAATAGAAA